GAAGGTCCTGGCTCCTGGCTTCAGATCAACTCAGCTCCAGCAGATGCAGCCACCTGGGGAATGAATCAGGAGACAGAAAATCCTTCTCTCTGTCTCTTCTTCTTTATAAGATCTGTCTTTACAATCAAATAAAACTAAATCATAAAAAAAAAAGATATACATATATTCAGTATGGGTTGATAACTAGAGAAATGTGAGTCAATAGTCACAATATCATTTCCTATTCTGCAGGACAGCTATAATCAAATGGGCAGACAATAACAGGTGCCAGCAAGCACAGAGAGAAATGAAAGCCTTCCTATATTGCAGAGAGGTCTGTAAGACGAGGCAGCTGTGCTGAAAAAAAAAATCTGGCAGTGTCACAGAAGGTTAAACACAGTTACTGTAAGTCCATTCCTAAACATATACTCAAAGCACATTAAAACATGCATTCACACAAATACACGTACATATGCATAAATGGTCACAGCAGCTTATTTCTTAATAGACAAAAAATGGAAATAACCCAAATGTCAGCCAACTGACCAATAAAATATACCCATGTAGTGCAAGGTTCTTGTTAATAAAAGTAAATACTGGTAAACGGATCAATCTTGAAAATATTACATTAGGTGATAGATGTCCAACACAAAAGGGCAGATCTAATATCATTCTGTTTGTATGAAATGTCCAGAATAGGCAAAATTATAGACCAGTGATATCTAAGTCAGAAAGGGGGCATGTGTGGAGCAACTGTTAATGGATACAAGTTTTCTTTTGGAATAAGGAAAATGTTTTAAAATCAAGTACTTGGGGGGCCCAGCATGATAGCCTAACAGTTCCTCGCCTTGAACACGCCAGGATCCCATATGGTCGCCAATTCTAATCCCGCCAGCTTTCCACTTCCTATCCAGCTCCCTGCTTGTGATCTGGGAAAGCAGTTGAGGACGGCCCAAAGCCTTGGAACACTACACCCATGTGGGAGACTTGGAAAAGGCTCCTGGCTGCGGCCACTTGGGAGGTGAACCATGGATGGAAGATCTTCCTTTCTGTCTCTCCTTCTCTCTGTATATCTGACTTTGCAATAAAAATAAATAAATCTTTTTTTTTTAAAAAAATTAAGTACTGGGATCAGAATTGCAGTATAATGAGTTAAGCTGCCACCTATAACACTGGTATCTCATACAGGCTCCACTTTGACTCTCAGCTACTCCATCTCTGATAAAGCTCCCTGCTAGCATACCTGGGAAGGTAGCAGAAGACAGCCCAAATGCTTGGGACCCTGCAGCCAGGTGCAAAACCCAAGGTCCTGGCTCTTGGCTTTGGCCTGGCCCAATCGTGGCAATTGTGATCATTTGGGAGTGAACCATCAATGTAAGATCTCTTTCTACATGTAGCTCTGTCTTTTAAATAAGTAAATAATGCTTTTAAAAGGTGTGTTTATTTGTTTGAGAAAGAAAGATAGTGAGCAAGCTCCCATCCAGACTCATTTCCCACGTATTCACAATGGCTAGTTGGGGCGGGGCCAGGCTGAAGCTGCGAATCTGTAATTCAATTGAGGTGTTCCTCATGAATGGTGGAAGTTCATTACTTGGGCCATCACTACTGCCTCCTAAGGTCTGCTCTGTAGGAAGAAAGCCAGACTAGATAGCAAATCAAAGCTCCTGGCTTCTCATCAGCTCAGCTCCAGCCGTGGCGGCCATTTGGGGAATCAACCAGCAGATGGAAGATCTTTCTCCTTGTCTTTCCATATCTTTGTAAAATCTGCCTTTCCAATAATTTTTTTAAAAAAAGAAAGAAATATTTTAAAAAGATGTAAGACTTCTACTGCATGTCCCTCATTTTTCATCCAGGCTTTGAGAAAGCAAAGGGCGGGGCCCGGCAGCATGGCCTAGCAGCTAAAGTCCTCGCCTGCTCCCTGCTTGTGGCCTGGGAAAGCAGTTGAGGACGGCCCAAAGTCTTGGTATCCTCACTTCTCATTCATCTGCCTGCTTGTGGCCTGGGAAAGCAGTGGAGGACAACCCAAAGCCCTGGGGCCCTGCACCCACGTGAGAGACCCAGAAGAAGCTCCTGGCTTCAGATTGACTCAGCTCTGACAGTTGCAACCACTTGGGGAGTGAATTCAGTGGATGGAAGATCTTCCTTTCTGTCTCTCCTCCTCTCTTTATATCTAATTTTCCAATGAAAAAAAAATCTTTAAAAAAAATAACAAACAACAGTAAGAAAGTGCACCTAAAGCAGTGATAAGCATGTGCCCCAGGTCAAGGCACTGGCTAATCTGGTGCTATGAATTTCAAGTCCACATGATGAAAAGGAGTCAAGTTATGCCTGCCTCCTGTTGGGGAAGATTCTTCTCCCCAAATCAGCAATGAAACTTCTCTAGGGACTGTTCCCAGCTTCTTCTCCTCCAGGCAAGGTGAGCTTCTGGCACAGAAGTGCCACAACCAGGAGGGGGAAAAGTCATTCAGGCTTAGCAGCTCAGGAAATGGGGCCTGGATGCCGTAGGAAGTGGTACCCAAAGCTATGTGAGGAACCTACAGCACTGGGTCAGCTTCCACTCTCGCCCTGCTTCCCTACACAGAGCCAGCCAAAGAACAGCAGGAAAGCTGTCATCTCTCACCCATTTCCTGTGCCTGCTTCATCTGAGACCTCAGGCTGGGGCAGAGGGAGGAGCCTCAGGGTTGGGTGCTTGCTGCATCCTGGGTGGCCAGGATGCATGACAGTCCACCCGTAAACATTTGGGGGTACTGGGGAGCCAGGCCAACCTGGGCTAAGCAACACGATAGCCATGGCTCAAACTTTTCTTTCTGCACTCACCCTTTTAGCCTGCCCCGCCCCGCCCCCCAGGGCTGTCTTCAGCACCCCAGCTCCACAGCTTCCTGTCTTTCAGTATTTTTCCAGCCTATAACGCGAAGCTTTGATCCTTTCTTCTACTTCTCCTAATCTCAAGATAAGGCCCTACCTCATGAAAAAAATAAATAAATAAATAAGGGAAAGGAGCCTTTGGGAGGGCAGTTCAAGTCTTTCACTTTAGCATACAATGTTTGTGGTCAGATGGAACTGGACTACTCTGGTGGCATGAAAATCCTACCTTTAGGGGAAGGGATTGAAAGTCTGGCCAACTTAAAGGATATATAAGAGGGGCTAGTGGTTGTGCTGAGCTAGACCAGGGTGCTAGGAGAGGGGTCAGAGCTCAGGCTGTACTGTACTGGACCAGGACACATGGGGAAAGAACTGGAGTCAGGCTGAGCTGGGGATTCGGGGGGGGGGGGGGGGGGAGAAGGACAGAGAATTGGATTCAGGGCCATGCCTTCCTGATTTTGAGGGATGGCTCTTCCTACTCCTCCCAATTCCTCCTCACCCGGTGCCTTCCCCAGAGGGGCTGCTGGTGGCCAACAGGGAGGAATCAGAGCTGGCTTTCAGAGGAAGTCACTACCCATTGTGCTTCCTGAATTCAGATCCAGTGACTGTCCCTACCGCCCCTCTCCCAACATTGTGATGCTGACAAGCCCACAGTGCACAGCACATCCTTATTATGTTCTTCCACTCACACTCTGCAGCCTTAGTTTCTCTCCCCAGTACCTAGACGTGCACCTGACCCTGGATGGCTCAATCAATACCAACTGAATTAATGAATTCACCAGCAGACAGAGACAGCAACACATACATACACAGGCACACATTCATAGCCACACATTTATTTTCAGTTACACACAGGCCTATACACACATCCACACAGTCCCGGCTCAATAGTCACATGGACACTGGCACAAAGCTAAGTGTCCAACCACACTAGACACAGACCCACTGTAGTTGTTAACCTGCCACTCCTAGGATGAGTTAGTGGTAGCAGTTGGCTGGAAAATAGCCTTCAGTCAGGCCAGCCCCACAGAAACACATGTGTGTGTAAACAGTGTTTTGGGGTCCCAAGGCTTTGAGCTGAGAACCTGGGTGAGTTGCAGGGTAGGATCAAAGATAGCTGGGTGGGTTGGGGAGTGGTGGGCTGGGCAGGCTGTGCCTCACTGTCTTCCTGCCAGCTGGGCAATGAGGAGGATGGAGGTCAAGAGGAGGACCTGATTCAGATTCAGGAGTCCTTAGTGGAGGACTGACCTGAGGCCTCAGCCTTCCCAGAAATGGTAACAAAGGACGGTGTCTGAGAAGGAAGGGTCCTGCTTCTCCTTCCAGTCTGTTACAGAGCTCAGGTGGCCCCCAGCAACAGAATCCCTGTGTCCTCATCACTCCATCCCTCTCACTGGGAAGTCAGGAAGTAAACAATCCTGCTACTCTCTTAATCCCTACCAGGGGACCTTGGCATCAGGGTAGACGTGTTTGTCTCAGCTGGGTTGGCAGGCTGGGGGCTGGACAAGGGTGGGAGTGTTGCCAACAGAAAGCATCAAGGAGGGGCAGGCATCATGGGGCAGCAGGTTGACGTTGCTCGGGTCACTCACTCACATTCCAAATTGGAACACAGGTTCTGAACCTGGGAGACAGCAGAGGATGGCTCATGGACTTGGGTTCCTGCCATCCACATAGAAGATCTGCATGAAGTTCCTGGCTCCTGGGTTCGGAACAGCCCAGCCCTGGCTACTGTGGGCCATCTGGATGCAAGACCTCTTTCTTCCAGGTCCTGCAACTGCTCCTAGAACCTCCAATGCAAGCCCTTCCTAGACAAATACTGCTTCCTCACAACTCAGTCTAGAGCTATATCACAGAAAGCCTGCCTCAGGAATGCCTCCTTTCCAGGTGCCTACTGGGAGTGGGGGCTGATGAGCAAGTCCTAGAGTAGGCTGGGTAACCAACTTCTGATGGAGATGGGTCTGGGCAAGGACAGCTGGGACAAGACTCAGGGTGCAGGCAGGTGCCAATCAGAGTAACTCAGAAAAGCAAGTGGACACTTAGGCGAATGAGCAGGAACACATTCCTTCCCCTCATATAGGCTGGACTGGCTTCAGAACTCTGGGTGTAGGGGTGCATTGCCTGGACTACTGATTATTAGGTATCAATGACCAACCAGGACACTCTCAAACCAAAAAGTCTCTTTATTGATCAGTACCATACATGACTCAAATGGCCCAGAAAAAAAAAAAAAAGGCATTACAGTCGGGGTGGGCCATCTATCTTCCTCATCCATTCTCTCAGCTCCTGACACAACACTCTTCAGGAAGTGGAGGCCAGAGTGGAGGAGATGGCCAGCTCCATGGCAGAGAGGGGCAGAGAGGTGGGGTTGATACTTCCCAGGACTGGCTGTCAAAAGGCAGCAAGGTCAAAACCGGGTATGGCGGCTGGGGACCCTGTTCTCAGCCTCCCATGAAGCCTGATCCTCCAGGTCCAACCGTGACCCCACAGCAGAGGACCCTGGCTGCTGCCTTCTTCCTCCTCCCAAGGAGGAGGGGGAGGGGATGTTGGGAGATGAAGACCCCCACCTCCCAGAACAGAAGAGCAGGGTAAGCCTAAATGACACAGTTGACAGGTTGGGGAAAGAGGGTTCTGGAGAATAGTAGATGAGTCTCTCCCCAATTCCATGTCTGCACAACTGAGACAAAATCAAATACAGCGACAGACAAGGCTGCTTGCTCTCTTCTCTTCACATTCCCTAAGTGGGGAGTTTCGCCCCATCCCAGACAGCTGCTCCGGTGGAAGGATGTGAAGAATACACATCACAGGGGTGGGAGTTGGGCTGGGACAGAGGGGTCACGAGCATGAGGAGGCTAGGTCAGAGTCCTGGAGGCTGGGGAGACAACAGCAGAGCACTGTCCCCAAGGTGTGGCCACCCAAGCCCTCCCGTTGCCCCCTACACACCATCCCCAACTCCAGTCATTTCCAGAAAACAGGGACGAGAGATGGTGAGTGTCTCCTTGGTCTGAAGCTCTGAAACCGTGGAAAATGGGCTGTGCCCCTTCCCGCGCCCTCCCCCCCACCTGGGCCACAGGTCCCCCATCTGCTGGGAGAGTAGGGAGGTAGCTGGACTTTGAATAATAGAGGTAAGGGGCGGGGGATATGAATGACTTTGCTTTTTTAAACTTAACATTTTTAATAATATATTTTTTTAAAAACTTGGAGCTGAGATAAGTGGCAGGGGAAGGAGGAGCCCAGAGCTTTACCCCTCAATTACCAGCTGCCTAGGGTGGAGGGGCATTCATTCAAGCCCCAAGTGTAACTTCTTTTTTTAAGTCCCTAAGGGTTGTGAGTACAGACAACCCAAGGCTTGAAGAGGGTGGAGTCAGGCGAATAGGGGACCCGGAACCTGCGGTTAAGGTGGAGACAAATGCCCTGGGGTGGGGGGTGGTCAGGACATTTCTCAGAGGCCCAGGGCCCACAGAGGCAGCCACTTGAGTCTCCCCTACCCCCACCAGGCCTGGCCCAGGGCCACTGGGAGGGCCATATTGGCACCTGCCCCCAGCAAGTCCAGTTCCTCCCGAAAGTGGGTGGATTGGAGGATGTTCATGCTCAGTCTCTCATTCTGTCTTCTGCTCCCTGGGGCTGCGAGGGGTGGGGCAGGCAGGCAGAGCGCTGGGTGGCCACGGCAGGGCCCTTACTGGGAAGCCTGTGATGTAGGGTTCTCTGATTTGCTTTCTTGGCTGGACGGAGGCTTGCTGTTCCAGGGGCTGTTGGCGCCCAGCGCAGGGGAGTTGTTAAAGCTGTCCTCGTCGTCAATGCCGTTGGCCGCGTCAAACTGGGTGTTCTCCAGCCGGGTGATGAGCCTCTCGTCCTCGTCCCCGAACTCCCCGCCCATCAGGGTGGGCTCCCCCACCACCATCACATCCTGAGAGTGGCGGAGGTCCCCAAACATAATCGGGGCAGGGGCTCGCCCAACCCAGGGCGGCAGATACCCCTAGAACCCCATTGCTTACCCTGGAAGCTCAATTCCATCCAACCCCAGTCCACCCTACCCCAGCCCCAGCCCCGAGCTCCCATAACCCCACTGAGGGTCGCCAGGGTAGCAGAACCTTAAACCCATTTCTGTCAGATCCTGGAAGACGTCAGTCTGCTCACCAAGTTCCCCGTCTACCTCCCCACAATTTCAGGGGCCTCCTAAGCTTCTGTCCACATGCAGGATAGAGCAGATCACAGGCCTGAGAGAGGACTGTTTGCATGTGCTTGTATTCCAGACCTGCGAACACTAATATCTGTGTGTTCCTCTCAGCGTGCACCTATGTGCTTCTGACAGTCCTATGCCCTAAAAGCCGCCAATCCTGAGAATCCACAGGTTCTCGTGGCCGGCTCGATCCTCTATGTCCCCTACGTCCCCATGACTGAGTCTGTGTGGCCAAAAGCACGCATGTGCCAGCCAAGAACTCCCTCATCAGTGAACAAAGTCAGCCTGTGTCACAGAGTGCATGGGGCAAACTGCCAACTGCCTTTGCTTCAGTGTCTGCTAGGGACAAGGGCTGGGCGTCAGGGTAGGGTGGTGGGGCAGCCCCGAAGAGAGAAGAAAGCCGAGATGCTTACAGGTACCTGGCTGGAGAGGGCGAAGGTGCTGGCTGGGCTCTTCTTCTTGCTGTTGCTGTTGTTGGTGTTGCCACCCCCCGAACTCATGGTGCTGCCCCCAGACATCTTCCGTTTCCGCCGCTTGCTGGGCTGCTGCCGTGCAGGTTCCGCTGTTCCAAGGAAAAGAAACTCAGGTGGGAAATGGCCCTAGCTGCCCTATTCTCTAGCCTAACCCAGGCAGGAGCCAGCTTTGCAGACCAGAGACAAAGGTGGAGCAGCGTCAGACCCCAGTAAGATCAATAGAATACTCACCAGGGGGTGCTACCATGCGCTGCCACTTCTGGAAAAGGCAGGTCTTGAGGCAGTCTCTGGGGCTGAGGCTGTAGGTCTTGTGGCGAGACATGAGCTCTTGCATGGGCTCGAGGATCACACAGAGCTGGGGGCAAACCCAGGAGGTAGCTTATCAAGAGGGAGATGCGGAGTCAAGACCAGTGGAATGGAGCAGAAAGAGAGGGATCAGAGACTCACTCGGAGGTAGTTGAGAGTGGAGTTGGAGAGCCCACACCGTGTGATGTTTTTGGAAAGCTGATCCAACATCTGGGGGTCCTGGGCCTAGAGTACGAGGAAGACAGGACAGTGGCACCTGCTGCATTGCATCTGCTGGAGCCCTAGCATCCGAGTGCTGTGGTACTGGTTGGCTGGAGGGGGGCAGTTACAAAGCATGCTTTCCAGATGACAAAGCCTGAACCCTCGGTCTGAGGTCATGGTCAGGAAATAAGCTTTGCTCCACCCTTCCTGCTGCCTGCCTCTCTAGCCTGATGTCTTGGGTCCCATTCACAACTCACATGCATGGCAAGGATGCTGCGGGGGATGAGCTCTCGGTGCTGCCGGATGCTGAAGTGCCACGTCTTTATCCGCATCATGTCGTCAAACATGAACTCCAGGTACAACCGGCCCTCCACACACACCTGGGGGACAGGCTTGTCACAACCCTGTCCCCTCCCCAAACCTGACAACATGCCTGCTACAGTTTTCTCATGTGCTTCCACTGCATAACTTTAGGCCACTTGCTCATACATCTGGGTGCTTAACTGCCATGATAACCCTTATGTTACACCCTTGGGCCTTTTACACAGACACGCATGGACATTGTATACAATGGCATAGTTTGCAGAAAATGGGATCAATGGTTACATTTATTTTGTAGACCCTTCCCCTGCCCACACACACAGTAGAAAAAGCTCAATGCGCCAAGATACGCTCCCTGCCTAGCCAGTGACACACGCTCTATGACATGTTCTCCATGGGCAGGCTTCTGTTGACTGGCGACTGGTGTACATTGCCAGGGACCAGAAAACTGACCTGTGCAAACTCCATCGACGTTCACCAAGTGCTGCACTGTGCCTGCCTTCCCTTCTTAAGTGGCCACTTCCCACTCTGCTTCCCTGGGCACCCATTGTGAGAGAGGAAGTCACATCCCCGTGCCTTGATGTCCCACACGCAGCTGGGCTGCTGACCTGGGTGAACATGGGCTTGCCGTGCTGGGTCACCATGCTGCCCTGGTCACAGTCGAGGGACACGAAGTTGCTGTGGAATGCCTCCTTGGGATGCTTAAGCACATAGTAGAGCTCTGTGGCACCCCCCTCAAAGATGCTGCGGAAGTAGCGTGGGATCAGGGTCCGGCCAATAGCTGTAGAGATGGGACAAATTCTTCAGACCAGAGGAAGCTCAAGAGGCCAACCAGCTGTCTCCCCTGGCACCTCCAGCAGTTATCCATGCCCACAGCAGGGCCCCTGGAGGTCACTCACTGTATCTCTTTGGTCCATCCTCTAGGCAGAAAGTGATGGTCAGCATTGCATCATCCTCAAAGAACTCGGTTGTGAAAGCATCCCACCAGAGATTGTCACACTCCTAGGGAGTGCAGAGAGGGTTTGTGTGTCTGTATCACAAGGTTTGCCACATGACTTGCCTAAGATCTCTCACCCCTTCCCAGCTTTCTTCCCTTTGATCATACCTCTGTCCAGTTCTGAAGCCGTTTGTTAAGCTCAAATATTCTGTAGTCAGTTTGGTTGCCATATGGCGTATGCCTCCTGGGGAGGTGAAGGTGAAAAGTCAGGAGAAGCAAAATGTTCTTGTTGCTCCCCACACCTTGGCCCTCTCCTACATAATGGAAAGTACCCCGCTGTCCACTGGACTCTACTTACCCAATCCCAGGCTCCAGGTACGTAGGCGGGTACATGGGAGTTGGGCTGTGTAAGAGAAGAGGCTATGAGAATGGGGTAGAACATAGGAATTATTGGGAAGGGGGAGAGTTCCATTTGGAGAAGGATAAGGAAGCGGCCAAGAGACTCACCCCACATCCCGATCTAGCATGGTGCCGGGATGAAAGGGGGGGAAGGCGTTGCCGTTCGGGGGTTCCTTCGGCGAGTACAGCTTGAATGACTTGGAGGAACAACCTGGAAAGGAAGGCCAGTCCACTGAGCCTCTTGTGGGAGCCAAACCCCCGCTTCCCGCCCTGAAGCCTGATCAGCCACAAGCACAGGGATGGGTCTTACTGAGCCCTCTGCCTGGATTACAAAGCTCTACTGGGGAGAAGGAATACTTACTCTAGGAGGCACCTGTCTCCCTCTAATACTTTGGCTCCAATCTCATGTAATTAAGCTGGAGGTACTCAGCCCAAATCCCAGCCCATACTTAAAAATCCAACTTCATCTTATTGAGTCCTGGGTGACAGAAGAGGAACTGGAGCTGGGAAGAAATGTCAGGATCATAGGATGAACACCCACATGGGAGAAACTAAGTTGGACAGACACCCTTTTTATCTACAGAGCCGCAGTCAATCAGTAGCAGGGCTGGCTGAAATATACCCATTTTACAGGTTAAGAGGAAAGATGTGAGCTCCAATTCTCTGACTCTCCTATCCAGTACTAACACCTGACCCCTGCATTGCCTTCCATAGGCTAAGCTTGGGGGAGGACCCAGGGGGATTTGGTGTCTTTGCATCTCCTCCCCAGCCTCCAGGGTCTGCAGAGATAACCAGAAGGGGGTGCCTGCTGGGTGCCGCCCACCAGATAACCAGTTGGGTCTGCAGCCTTCCCCACTAACGGCCACTCTTATCAGCCCAGACCCCCTCACACCAGCCCCATCATGAGCAGGGTAGTTTCCAAACCAAAAACCCAAAGCCACACTCATTCTCTCCTAAGACTTGTGGAGGGGGAGGGACACACAAGGGTCCCTGCTATGTGTCAGTGCACCTGTAAGTGTCCCCTCTTGTACCTTATCAAGCCACCCAGTTCCCAACATACCATCTCCTGACTGAAAAAGTGTCCAATTCATTGCTGGTTAGGAGCAGCTCCCCTGCTGCCAAAATGAGAGGAAATCAAGGCACAACCCCACAGGTTCTAGTCGTGGTCTAAGGGGCTCCTCTACCCTCACACTTCCCCCCGAAATCTGACTGCATCTGGAAGGCAAGCAGAGGAGCTTCACTGGTAGGATCTGAGCCCCCTCCCAATGCAGATGCAAAACCTGTCTTGTTCGTTAGCGGAAGTAGACAAAGAAAGACCCTGTGCCAACATGTGTCATTGAACTCTCTCCCCAGGGCCCCCTCTTCACCCTATGGGCAAAAGCAGGGTCCCACAAGGACCCCCACCCCCCGAACTTGCACAGTCCCTGAGGGTGCCAAGAGTGACAGCTTATGTGTGCCCACACATGTGTGTGCCTCACCCCACCTAGCAGGCTTCCACCCTCATCTCGCCCCAACACGCCTACCAAGGGCTGCAACCCAGCAGCCCTGGGGCGGGATCAGGGAGTCGACAAAAGGCCCTTGCCCAGCGCAGGGGCCCTCACAGGCCATGTCCACAGGCTCCAAGCACAGCATACACTGCCTTCACATGCCAGCCTGGACTGAACCCGGGTTTAAGGAGACAGGGTTCCCATCCAGCTACCAAGCTTGCACCCACTCCACACACGGAGAGGTCATGGTCACTTAGGAAACCCGAGTTCACACAACCCACAGGAAGCTGGGCCTGGGCAAGTAACTAGGAGTCCGGATTCTCCCACCTGGCTTGCAAAGGCATAACCACTAACTACTGTGCCCTTCACGTCAAGTTCACCGAAGAAGACACGTGTCCACTCAAGAATGTGCAGAAAAACAAAGGAGGACACCTGGGTTCTTTCCTCCCCAACCCTGAAAAGTCTCACAGGCTATGTTTCTCCCACAGGAAGGGTCAGGCACTGTCTGGGGCTCAGTGTAATATTTCTGGGAGCTAACGCCCGAGGCTCTGGGGTCTCCATTTACACCTCCAGTGAGTGGACACAAACCAACTCAGCATCTCTCTAGAGCCATAGCAACTCCCAGCAGCCCCAGCACAAGAGCCTGGGAGAAGGGGAGGGACACCACCCAGGCCATCTGTCCCTGTTACTGCCAGTCCCCACAGGCAGGGGTAGAAGGAGCTAGGTGGGGGTGGGGATGGAGGGACTGTGTCTGCCACCCAGGAGTCACATGTACCCCCCACCCTAGCAATCTGGGAGCCTTAAGGAAGCTGGGATAGGACAAGAGGTGCCTAAACTAATAAAGTTTTCTCCAGACTGCAGCTGCATCCTGGGGCTGCTAGGGGAGTGTGTGTGTGTGTGTGGGGGGGGGGGGTCCTCTAGCTGGGCATTTCCATGGTAACCAGTCAGTCCTAAGAGCAAGCCCCCTTCCTTTAGGGGCTGCTGGTGGATGGGTCAGCAGGCCAGAGAGGCCCCTACCCATCTAGGCCTCTGAGCTGAGGCACCTCTCCCCCAGGGCAAGCACACCCGGCCTGGGCAGGACTGCGGGCCTTCCGCCCACCCCCAACAGGCTTGCAAGGAGCCCAGACTTACCTGGGAGAACTGAGGGGGCCAGGAGAGGTGCGGGGAGCAGCTGGGAGCCCACAGGCACCCTGGCAGGGGTGAGGGCTGAGGAGGGGCCAACTTCAGCCGCTCATATCCCGAATGGGACAGGCAGGCCCGGCTGGGAGCTCCACTCTACCGGCCGCACAAAGACTCGCACACAGGGGCCTCGGCCCGCCCCGCGGCGGCCACAGCCCCGGGGGAAAGTTACAATGGCCACTGGGCTGGGGGCCTGGGGCCAGGGGGCCGGCCTGGGGGGCGGGGGGCCGCGGGGAGTCCGGAGCCGCCTTTGTTTGCAAGGTTTCCCTCAACAATGGCTGCTCCGCTCTTTCCTCTCTCCTCCTCCTCCTCCTCGGCTCTCCCCGCCGCCGCCTCTCGCTGCCTCTGCCTCCGAGCAGCCCACCCGCCCTCCCCAGGCTACCGGGCCCTTCTGCTGGGGGTACCGAGAGAGGCAGGAGCCGGCACTCACACTCACTCACACACTCAGACACACTCGCAGCGCCCGCCGGCTGCCTGCCTTTCCTCCCTTTCTCTCCCTCCCTCCTCCTCCTCCCCGCTCGCTCTCTCCGAGCTCCTCTCCGAATGAGGCCCCAGGGCGGGCGGAGGGTGGAGCCGCCCCGCCAGCCCCGCCCCCTCCCTGCGAGGAAAGAGGAAGAGTGAGCGAGGGAGGGAGGGCGCGAGGGAGGGACTGCTGAGAAAAACAAAAGAGAGACAGAGACGGGGAGAGACAGGGGATGGATAGGTTGGGCCGGAAGAGACCTGGAAGGAGGGGTGGCCTGCGGGGGTTGAGGGGTAGCTAGGAGCGATGCGCAGCCTGTCCCTGGCGTGCTGGCCCGAGCTGAGCGCCAGAGCCCAGAGTCGCAGGCAGGCAGGCATGGGGTGGGAGGGGTGCGCTGGGCTCCCAGACTCCCAGTGTCTTCTATCTGCCTCCCAGATCTGCCCCGGTGTCGCCTCCCAGGAGAGTACAAAGCTGGCCTGTGCGGCCACCCGTGGGCTCTACTGCTGAGCTCCCCCAAGCAGCTGGGGGGAGTCCCTGGGGTTATTTTTGGCAGAGACATTCTGAAGGGAGCCTGTAAACACGAGTGAGAGGGAGGGGGCACCCTGCCCCAGTGCAGCCAGGTTCCAGGCCCCAACCTTCACGGGAAAGCCCCCTCGCCATCACCATCACCATCACCACCACTGAAGCCACGTGGTGTCCTCAGAGCAGAGGAGGGCAAACTTACCCCTCCAGGGATCCCTGGGAAGGATCCTTAAAAACGGCTGAGGAGAAAGGATGGCCAGGGTCAATGGGCGTAGGGCCTGTTCTCCAACCTGGTGAGGTTAGGCATCCCAAGGCGATGAGTCTTTCTCAGTCTTGAGAAGTAGTCCAAAATGACCACTGGCTGGCAGACTGGACAGGAAGCCCAAACGCACAAGGGGTGCGAGACCCTCCTACTTCCTACTTGTTTCCAACTTTAGCATCTACTCTTCTATGGCCCCATCTCACACAAACCCAAAAGACAGTATCTCTAAACACACTCTAGTTGTACAGTTGTGTCACACCTGGCTCCAGGAGGATATCCTCCACATGTGAACGCATCTCACTTTGACATCAGTCAGGACCTGATAAACACTTCAACCTGAGGGACATGGACACACACACAGTCAGACCCTGACTTCCATATACACTGGGACCCGTGACACAATGGATCCTGACCCCCAATACACACACACACCCCTTTCTCCCTCTCTCCCTCCCTCCTATTTCCCGCTCACTCTCCAAAGGAGGAGTCCTTCCTGAAACCTTCACACTATGCCGGACCACAGCCCTGCCACACTGAAAACTTAAGGGAAAGACCTGGGAAATCGTATCCTGCCACCAAGGCTATGCAATGTACAGCCCAACTGGGATAGTTCCGTTGATTGTCTTTTTGCTTCTAAACTTCCCAAACTTCATTTGCAAACAGGGCTTGGCCCCTGGCCAGGCTGGGAATTTTGAGCTTCACTAGATTCCCTGGGGCACTGCAGCCATTCCTTGCAGCAGCCCCTTCCTCCAGGCCTCAAATGACAGTCCACCCAGTGAAGTGGGGTGGGGGATGTGCTCTGGCTTCTGCCCCGTGTCAGGAGCTCAGAACCCCCACCCAGCCTGCCTCCTCACACAAGGGCCCTCCTGTCTCACTGTGGGGAAGACAGGCCCCTAAATGCCAAGATGTCTCAAGACTCTGGCGAAGCACCCAAGTTCCTAGTTCCCTCCTCTAGCAAGTCTGCGCCTGCTCTGATGTAGTGTTCCCCTCCCCCCCACCCCTTGCACAGGGCAGAGGAGGTCCGGTGAGAGCAGGTCTGAGTTAGGAGGATCTAAAATTGGTGGTGGCAGGGAGTAGCCAAGAATGACAAAGGTGAGAAGGCAGAGAACAGAGTACTCTTCTGGGAGGTGGGGACTCCTGCAGCACGGCCCATGGGATGAGGTACCACCATTGCCCCCTGCCCGGGCCCCTGACCCAGGCCTCCAGTGTGCCTGCCCCCCTTCCTTTGTCTGTGCCCGGCCTCCCGTTGGCCTGGCGCTCTGCCATCCTCCTCTCCTGGCTCCCAGCCGCCACCACTGCTGCCTCCTCCCCTCCCCCTACTCCTCCCTGCCTTAACCCTTCAAGCCACATGCTGCCCCAGGCGGCAGCCCTCTCAGCATCTTGCCCAGGGTGATGCCCCTTAGTAGTCGGTTCTTGCTGCTTCTGGCCATTTCAGCCCTAGAAGTCCCTTGCCACCCCAGGAGCACCTTGGAAGCTGGGGGTGTGTGGGTGTGTGTGGGGGGGCTATCTCGTAGCATTTTTCTGGTGTGCATGTGTGTGGGTCTGCCTGAGCTCTGGCTTCCCTCAGTCACATGTGTGGGGCATGTGCTGTCTCTGTCGGGCTGGGGGAGGAGGAGGAGCCGGGAGACAGCAGAGCACAAAGGAGAGACTCAGGAAAGCAGGCGGGCAGGCGGGCGGGCAGGCGGCAGGCGACCTGCCAGGGCACCTCTGCCCTCACCCCAGGGCGCCTCAGTGTGGGGGAAGTCTTTGGGCCTGAACTGCTAATGCAGCCCCATGCCTCTGCATTAGCTCCTACCCACACAAGTCAGACCAGTCCCCTCTCTCACCT